TGATTATGTCGACGCCAAAAAAGAAGTGAAGATGTAATTATAAGGAACCCGCTGTCGGATTCACCGACAAATTTTGCATTTGGCGCCCAATTTTTATCCAATTTGCTTCAGCGCGGAGCAAGCAACAAATTTTCTAATGCAATGAATTGTTCCTCTAGTGAATTTCAACAAATGAAATGACTTCCAAATGATTTAGAAGTGGAAAAACAACGTTCAAAACATCAAAATAATAGATAATTAGCATTAGTTGAACAAGTTCAATTTTTGGACAATTAATTTATCAAATATATTAAAGTTACGTTAAAGTAGCAAAATATTTTCTTTTCTTTCGAGACGCTCAGTTTCTGTTATTTTACTCAAAACTACTAGTTTACAGAACTGACTGCTAGTTACAGCCTCAAAATTAAGAGGAGAGGCGACTTTCTTTGTTTGTTCAATAGAAACGTCAGTTGAACCACTTGTCTCAACCAAGACGACTCACCAACTATCAACTGTCTGTGTTACGTTCGCATCTGTTGTTTCTTCTGCTCTTTCAGCACAAAATATTTATGAAAGAGAAGCATCGCCAGTTCCAACATGTAGGAATTCAATAGGAAAAGGCACAGCAGTATCAACCATGATCGACTTCCGACTTTACCATTGTCACCTATTCAAGAACAACGAGTAACATCATCGCTTACACAAACGTTCAAGTAAGTAAACAAAAAGAACTCTTTGTTATCGTTATCTCTTTCCACTACTTGTTTCTCTATCTTAGAACTCGTACACTTGAAGAAAAGCGATTAAAATATCCTGTTGTTGTTTTAGTTAATTTAAAAAATATTTCAAGGTGCTAAGTCGTTGATGTAGACGTCATTCTTATTCCTATACACACACATAAAGAAAAAATGTTGTAATTAGCTGATATTTTTCAAAGAATTGATATTGGTGTTGGAATCGATGCTAAAGCTGATATACGTTGTAAAGATAATTTATTATGGAGATTAATCATCACATATGTATTAGGTAAGGTTTGTTTTGTGAGACAGACTTGATTTAGAAAGCATTTTTCCGCCTTTAAACTTGTTTAAGACGAAGTTGATCAAATGATTAGTTTTTGTGCGAATACTGAGGAATTTCTTTCTCTTGTCCTCTTTATTACCTTCACAGTTGGCGAATATCCGGCAACATCAACTTCGCCAAAATCGCGAATAATTATGATGTACAAAAACAAATATTACGACGTTTAGTTTTAATTGTGATGTTGCCTGTACATTTTTATATACAAACAAAAATGTTCGAGACCATGTCGGATAGGGTACAGTTGTTCTTACAGGTGGCTCTTCGGGTGTTTAATGACGGTGAAACTTAACCCAAATCCTCACAACGCGCATTTAGAATCGTCGCCAGTTGTACAACAGCAGACGATTTAACATCAACTAATATCCATGCATGCTTGGAACATACCATGTTAGATCTACGAAGATTAACCAACAAGCGTATCGTGGAAGAATTACACTAACTGGCCATGTGGCCCAGTGCGTTACTGGTCAATACCAATAGTTGGGCTAATATGTTATATAATTGGTGAATTATTTGTCGTGTTTTTATGAATTTATTTACAAACAAATATGATGAACAAGTGTATAACGTCTTGTTTAACAAATCCAGCAGTATTAGTAAGGGTAGGTCGCTTATACGATGCGATGCTATTAAAACTTCGCTTTCTCCTTTGACTTTCTTCAATAAGTTATTCTGTGTTTTTCAAATTTATGATTCAGATTTAAGAATGTGTGTTACAAAAGATGATCCAACATCAACAGATGATCTGTTTGATGTATCTGATGATGAAACCGATAACACCGATAATGATACAAATAATGAACCAGCTGTGCATGTGACAGAACAACATAGCGAAATGGTAAAAGTATCCAACGTATTAAAACAGTGACTTTTGAAAACTGTATTATTTATTTTCAAGGCGCTAGCTGCACATGCTCTTTTCTTAGATGATCGATAAAGAAGTTGAACTGAATACCGCAAATTCTGAATTTAGAACAGAATTACTGACTATCTATTATGAATGTTTGCATGAAAAAGGATATTCTAAGAATTCAATAACGAAAACTAAAGAAATAATCTGTGAAAATCTGCAGAGGTTAGCTTATTTAACTAGCAATTTTATGCCTAGTACTTTCATTTGGTCCAATCTTTTGTTAGGTATTTTCTCTCTTTGATAGCTGTTTCCATTCTCAGTTTTTACCGTTATGCTTGGCATTTTAGGTGATTTAACTCGTTATCGGAGAGAAGTGAAATTATTTGATAATATGATATTGAAAAAGGATGCACAACGAACAACAGCTGATTCTGAGAGCAGAATGGGCATATTGAAACGTACACAACCAGGTACGACATAACTAGGTTTTTGACCAACAAATTACCATGCATGTTACATCGCCGAGCTGATGCGCTATTTTACCACTTAAGAGTGGATTTCTCCGCACGTAACTTCGATCTTAAACAACATAAACTCGTTTCTAAAAATTTCTGCAAAAGCTGTTTCTCTGTGTCTCCATCAATAAAGGTTGTTGAAAATCCCAAGTACTATTTCTTAGAATGTTCAGAAGTACGATCAAGCTCGAGCAGTTCTGACTATTAAGCTGTGTAATCTACGTGTTAGTCTTGATATTGATACCCTTCTACTTAGAACATTTATGCCACAATCGATTGATACCAGTGTATCAGTCTGTGGGTGATTTTATTAATGCTAGCACACGTTTCTAATAGACTACGTTCTCTACTTTTTTACTTTCATATATTTTAACTGATTCACTCCGTCATTTCTAAAACGCCAACATCAGGTGCTTTTCTCCTACTGACACAGTTTTCTTCATCTATTTTTTACTGCTCTCATTTTAATTTTCTCTTCTTCTTTCTCTGGCTGGAAAAATAGTTACCCTCATCGACGATACACAAAATCGACATCAACAAATAAAATTATACAAGAACATTGGAACGAATTACTAACTACTAAATGTGGCTCTGGATTTTATACAAAATAATCAGAAGATTACATTATGAACCACATGACGTCAAGGTTATCGAATCCACCTGTGATTAACGACAATTTATCGTGTTGTTCATGGTGATCTCACTGGTCGTAATGTCCTTGTGTTCCATATTGACAATGAAAACCCCTCGCACCGTCTTGTCAAACTTACGGATTTTAGTTTAAGCCTAAGAAGTGCAATTTATTCACCACTGCCATCAACGTCATCTTCAACATTTTTGAATCTTGTGCCTGCGCTCTATGCAGCTTCTGAACTCTTAGTGGATAGTCAATGTCAGGCGTTGTATACTGAAAAATCGGAGGTGTTTTCAATGGGTGTACTGATGTGGGAAGCATATTCGAGAAGAAATATACCCTGGTATCAAGTAGATACTAACGAAGAAGTTTCTCGTCTCATAGTAAGTGGAAGACGATTTGAACAGCCTACGAGATGTAGCGATAACTATTGGACAATTATCATTCACTGTATGAGCGAACGACCACAAGATCGACCCAAGTTTATTAATCTATACCGAAATCTTTTGCAGTTCCTATTTGAGAAAAGATCGTCTGGAACGGTACCCCTAGAAAAAAAAGAAAGTCCTATAACTACCGTCGAAATTTCTCTAGATGTACAAGGACACAACGTCAGCAGTTTTTACACCGAACGTACTACACAGCCTCCTGCAAATAATTCCGAAAATCTGCCAAATCAAATAGATGAAAGAACAAACATTTTAACGTTCCTGAATGGAGCAACATATGAAGATGCACACAAGTATGACAAGCGACCTGGGCGATGAGTATATACTTCGCCAGATGGAAGAAAATATCACCATGAATTCAAGGATGGAATGCCACAACGACCTGGAGTATATAGTTTTGCAGAGAGAAGGCGATATGAAGGTCCATTCAACGAGGGCAAGCGACACAGGCAAGGAGTAGAGACTTCGAAAGATGTAAGAAGATATGAACGTGAATTCAAGAATGACAAGCTTCAGTTGCAAAAGGTTGATAGTCGCATAAGTCGAGTGTTCTGACTCATGCTTCAACATAGCGCGTCAAGCGTGCAAGTACTTGAATGCGTTGAAAATCTAGCTAAAATCTATGTGCACGACATGAACACAACCGATTAGTTTCTGGCATCTAAAGATGCCTCAGATTATTACAACAGAATATCGAAAGGCTCAGAAAGACTGAGAAATTAAAAGAGTTATCTGATATTTTCTTGGATGAAAGCATGAAATTTAAGCAAATAATATTTTACACTAAGCAGCGTCTTTCTTGCCAATATAATCGACAGATATTCGATGAAAATAACATTTATTGTTCTCCTATATTGATTTTAAGGAAATGAGTCGTTGCATATGTATTTCGAAAGTGTCCTCGGTTCCGAGAAATACAGTCCACGAATTGGAAATATGCATTTGAAATATCCAGGAAGATATTAAAAAGTACGGTGAAAGTGTATCGATGAAAGAAAAGTTATCCAAAATTCTGTTTAAACCATGAAAAATAGAGTTACTTCATTGCTGAACGTATTAAAAGAGCTGAAGCTACCTAGAATTAATTATCGAGGGTACACCTTGTAGAGGCCAAAACTAAGACAACAAACACTTCTGTATGAGAAATTCGTAATAGTACCTATAGACAAGGCAAGCAAGAACGTTGCTTTTATGTGTAAAAAGTTTTATTTACAAAATACCGGAAGAAATTGGCTACTTTAAATCTGCTCATACATACAAAATACTCGATAAAAAAACTAGCAACACTTAGCGATTCTCAATGACTTTTTTAAAAAAGCACAACATCGAGTGCCAAATATAAAATGAAGTTGTTATCGTTTATTTCTTGGATTCCAAAGTTTTATAAATTTTCAATAAACCAACGATTCATCATATCATCATCGTACTGTTATACAAAAAATTGGCGCAATTTCTGTGTTCTGCGTTACGATTGATGTACAAACAGCAGATCAGATATTGTACAAAAATCAAACTCAAAACAAAAATCAATCTTTTTTGGATAATCGATAATTCGTCCCACATACTCAACAAAATAAAAGAGATTAATAGAAAAATTCGGCGAGAAACATCGAAACTTACGATTTTTCAACGTTATATATCAGCATTCCACATGATGTCTTGATTAAAAGTATGGAATGAATAGCGAATAAAAGTATTCTAACCGAAAATACTGTTATAGTAGCCAATAGTCAGTCAGCAATTTTCCAAAGTAATTTCAATATGAAGAAAAAAAGTAACAGAAATCAGTCGATTTTAACGAAAACGAGGGAGGTGGATAAGATCGTTCCTTCTCCCCCCCCTCCAACCTTTTTTAAAACGAATTAAATATTCGGAACCAGCGTCAAATTCGGCATCGAATGACGTATTTGATTCACTCGAACATCGGCTTTAATATTTTCGAAAAATTTTCGACACTGTGATCGATCCCTTTTGAACTTCGGAAAACGTTTTTTCTCAAATTTCAATGAGAGATGCGTCCTTCGATGCATTCAGTTCAGTAGGAGTCGATTTATTTCTTGTACTTTTAAGTGTCCGACGAATTTTATCTTAGAAGTATTGGAAAATACTTAGTTTCTAAGAAAATGTGCATGTACGACTTCAACACAACCGATTAAGCTCAGATAAGGCACTCTGCAACACCTGCGACGTGAGACAAAAGAAACAGGAAAATATTATGTGGAGCTTGGTTAAATTTCATGCTTTCATCCAAGAGAATATCAGATAACTCTTCTGATTTCTCAGTCTTTCTGAGCCTTTCGATATTCTGTTGTAATAATCTGAGGCATCTTTAGATGCCAGAAACTAATCGGTTGTGTTCATGTCCTGCACATAGATTTTAGCTAGATTTTCAACGCATTCAAGTACTTGCACGCTTGACGCACGATGTTCAAACATGAGTCAGAACACCCGACTTATGAGAGTAAACAACTCCTCCTTCAGCACGTAATGACTTAGATGCACATATGTCATTTAGATATTAGAAAACTGCAATCTGCAATTTCAGCTGTTTTTTGCTTTTTACATTCTGAAATGCAGAAAAAACTGATGCAGAGTCCAAAAAAAAACTGATTTGAGAGTCCAAAAAGAGATGAATTTGTTGTTTCACTTGCCACAAAGACGCATCGTCGTCAAACGAAAAGCAGCACATTACCCACAGCTTTCTTGTGCAGAAAGAACAGTAACAACTACCTTCTTTTTCTCTCTGCTTTTATACAAAAAATTTTGTTTGTTCGAAACAGAGAGTAGCTAATGACGATGGAGTAGCTTTCAATCAACAGTTGAATAGTAGAAAGAGTAAATGGAAAATATATACTTCTTAAAATATATACTTTATTTGTAAATGAAAGTAAATGTATTCGGCATCGTGCTTTATACTCGATTACTCGGTTTTTTCCTAATGGACGGAACGCATAAAAGAATCTATCTCATTTTACATGATGACTTTTTTGTGCGCAATTTGTTAAGAGGCAGATGATGAGTCCCTTCAAATGTCAGAGTCCAACTAAGCAAAAATTAGGGTCAATTCATTTTCATTATTACTCTGTAAATTTCCATGAAAAAAATTCATGATTTTGATGACCCTGATTTAATCAAAGTTATGACATTACTTCATTGCCATTACATGAATTTTATTACTCTGGTTTAATCAAAATTATGGCATTACTTTCATGACTTTGATTGTTTTGCTAAATCAAAATTATGACATTAATACGGTTGGAAGTTATAGTTCAGCCAGTCATGGAACATCAGCATATCATCCATGTCCTTTCCAGAACAATCATAGCTTATTTCTCTAGCCATTCAGTTAAAAAATTGTCTATACGTTTAGGGGATTTAAGGGAGTCCCGGCATTTAGATTGCGCTCAAAAAAAAAAATGATTTAAATTTGAAAAGTTATTTATTCAGGTACACACACAGCACGCGGAACATTAAGTAAGTAGAAGAGAAAAAAGACAATTGTCTTGTATTATCTAACGAGGTCGAATGACAGATGATGCACGAACACTTTCACGCTAAAATATAAAATAACAGTGAACTTGTCGAATGAGAGAATGAATGACAAGTAGATACCGTTGGCGTTGATGATCGTTGAGCAGACACACTTGATCGGTTTTTGCCACGTAATTTTAATAATTGATTTTCAGCAACATCAGCTCGTTCTGACGACTCTTCTACAACATATGAATACATCCAACAATAGATAAAAGCGAGAATTATGAATACGCACCTAATTCCGTTTGAACTTTACGATATTTGGCAAGATTCAAAGCAGCAATTTCTTCTGCTTCTTCACATTGACGTTTGTAAACCTTTAATTTTTGTTGTAATTTTTCATTCAAATCGTTTAATCGATGGTGTTGTTTTCGCTCTTCTTCTGTTTGAAAGGTTATTTCTTTCAAACGATGATCGTTTTTACGCAATTCTTTGAGCGTTTCCTGTTGACGATGTTGCTCCATCTCAAGTTCTCCTTCAACTTCATGAATCTAAAAATAGATCTAAACCTTTGAGAGACGGTCAGTGAAGAAAGATGGTTACACTCTTTTATTCTAGTAGTTTTTTAGACCTACAAACCCTGGTGTTCTATACTCTAACGCTCCTGTGTGGAGTTGGGAAATTTCATAGAGTCGCAACTTGATTCATTTTTGTCCATTTCAAAAGTTGTAGTTCTTAAAACGAAAGCAACTGATCAATCGAAGGCTTATCATCAAACAAACATCTTTGGGATTTCCAAGGATAGCACGCGCAGGTTTTTATAAGATTATGTTACTGATATCTCATACTCAGTGGTAAATAGAGGATGCAAGTGACAGATGACTTACCCGTTGTTCAAGTTTAGCAATGATTCGTTTTCCACCTTTCATTGAGTTGCCTTCTGCCTCGTCTAATCGTGTTTGAAGATCTTTGATTTGTTGTTCAAGACCTTTCCTTAGACGTTCAACTTGTAGAGCGTGATCTTGTTCTTGACGTAATTCTTCGGCCAAACGGCTGGCATCAGCAACTATAGAAAACACATTGTCATTGTGAACCTATTGATTTATTCTCACTTACTCGCTTTCTTCGAGCGTTCTTCGCTATTCTTTAGTTCGGCTACAGCTTCATCTAAATCGGCTTGCATAGCAGCCACTGTTGATTCCAACTGTCTGCGTTGTGAGGATATATTAGCATTTTGCGTACTCAAATCCGAAATGCGATCGGCTGCCTCATGCAATTCATTTTCGGCCAATTTTCGTCCTCGTTCAGCTTGTTCCAGGGCCGTTCGAAGTTCTTCAAGTTCACCAGCAATCAAATTGATACGACGTTCAGCCGACATTGCTGCTTCTCTTGCCTCATCGCGTAGTCTCTGTTCTTCTTCGAGTTGAGTTTGTAAGTCCGTCAGGGATTGTTGGATTTTTTTCACTGATTTTTGTAGATCAGCGTTCGTTCGATTTGAATGATCCAATGCAACTTCTAGTTCATTTATGTCTGATTCTAATTTTTTCTTTTGTTTCAATGCTTCGGCTTTTGCACGTGTTTCAGCTTCTAGGCTAGCTTGCATCGAGTCCAATGCACGTTGATGATTACCTAAATGAACACAATATATCTTGTTAGAGGACTGTTTTAGGAGGGAGCCGGAATTATTAGTCTTTATTAATTATTATTACTCTCACCGTAGAAAAGCAATGACGGTTGATTTCTTTACTATATCATGTTTTCATGTTGATGATTTTTGTTGTGGACAGGGGCGTAACAACTGCGCGGAGGTAGATGGGGATTATCTCTTTACTGCTTTCTAAAGACTTCTTTTTTCTTCAGTGAGATGTTTATTGAAAAGTTGAAACGGGCACCTGATAATTGAGCTAAACTGTAGAAATAAGAGGTGTCCTTTAATATATTCTTAACGGAAGGCCTTGGAGAGCTGAGAGCAGTCTTATTTTGTAGAGGACACTTCACTCTGTAATGCATAATATTTAACTCAAAAATTAAAAAAATTTCTAAAAAGGGTCTACAAAAGAGGGGTAACGTTTAATTTTCTATGACAGTGCATATCAGGATTTGAGACTATGTACACCACTGGACAGAGCAAGTCGTCCTCTACAAGCTCATACATATCCCATTCTGTAGTCAAAACCTTATAGCCGCCTTTCTGACTACTTTTATAAGAATCCTTGCTTCATAAATACTTTCACAAAGCACTTCGTAGCAATATAACTAAGTATAGCAATCGTGGAGAAGTACGTGTAAAAGCCTATCGCAAGTGAATATTTTTCAAAATACTTGCCAAATACTGATCAAGTAATCGAGTACGTTCGATACGGTTGTATTATATTGCTCCTATGTATTACATATTGATCATAGTTCATGAATAATCTCAAGAAATCTGATAAACTCGATTTGGAAGTCTATTTTTATTTTTAGTTTCCTTGTGTCTCTAACAACAAAACTTTTGCGTTACTTACGTCTTGTATTTTCGAATTCTTCTTCTTTCTCGTGTAAACGTCGATCGATATCTTGTCTCACTGTAGACAATTCCATTTGGGCACGTAAAATTTTGGCTTCTTCTTGTTCAAGAGCTGATTCGGCTTCTTCCAACGCCGCTTGCATTTCTTCCTTTTCCATCTCGAGACGTTTTCGTTGTTTATCTAATTCATGTGTTGATTTTCCACCCTCACTAAGTTGATCAATCAAATCTTTAATTTCATCGGCTAGATTTTTGTTCTCTTTTCTCAATGCTTCGATTTGTTCATGTGATTCTTCATATTGTGTTTTCAATTTGAATAATTCGGTGGAGTATTGACGTGCTTCTTTCTGGGATTGTTCGAGTTCAATGGTGATGTCCTGACATTTTTGTTTCCATTCATTAATTAATTTATCGAATTGTTTTTGTTTTTTATCCATGGCTGATGCATCTGAAGATTAGAGCAAAGAAAATTGAAATTGCTAAACATAAACAAATGATGTATAACTCACTAGAATTTGCTCGTTCAACATCGATCATTAAGTCTTCAACTTCGCCCTGAAGACGAGCCTTCGCTTTTTCTAATGCGTTACATTTTGATATTGCGCCTTCAACCTAAGAATAAAAACTTTATTACGAATTAAGAAATCTTTCGTTGTAAAGCATCACTCGTGAAGAGGAGTTTTAATTTTGCTTATCCAGTGTAAGGATCCCTTAAAATAACTTTGACTATCTTATCATAGCCTATAAGGAGGTTCAAGAGATTTATGATGATCGTTTAGGTGTGTGGATGTTTTCTGGAACATAGACAAAGATCGCAAGTTAATCACTTTGAGCGTTTCCTAATAATTAGTAAGAATTCAATAGGAACTTCCGTTTTTTTATGATAAGGTTTCAGTTAGTTTCGATGCCAGCTCTCAGTATCAATCCTTTGAAAGTACGAGTTCAGACCTGGAGTGATTAACGACCAATGTGTGTGGATCATTTAACCAGAAAAACGGAATTTTGCATTTTTTTATTGCAAATAGAAGCGGATAGTCTTTAGAATGTAGGCTATATTTTCCCTAAAAATTTTCTGTTTGCGTCATTTAGTATTGGGAAAATACTTCACTTAATCACGAGTACTTTAAAAAAAGTATGTTATTTAATCGTAAGATGGCAGAGGAAGTTTTTCATGTGAACAAAAATTTTAGAAATATGTATCCAGTGTAAAGGGATGGACACATTAGAAGACCTGGAGTCTTGTAACGTGTCCTATCGTTCATAAATTTTAAAGGGATCTTTTATTGTATCCCTGAGAGAAGTCGTATTTTTTGGTACCCTTAACAATAAAACATGCAGGGCAAAACTGCAGTATTTCCACTATCCATAAGTATTTAAGAAAGACTTAGTGACGAAAGTAATTGAAGATTTATTTGCTGTGCACAAAAGAGAGAGTCAAAAAAAGAAGCATCGAAAGATGACCGTAATATGATGCTGTTTCATTATATATCATCCCAGGACGATGATTACGACGATCGTAAACGGTCGTAATATGTCAAATTACGACGTCGTATTTTGACGTTTACGATAGTATTTCGTCATAATCTAGCGTTTTTCGTGGAGAAGTATTATGATGATCGTAACACTCTCATTTTGTATTTTGTCGTATTTCGTCATAAACCACAGTTTACAACAGTCGTAATCCTTCTTTACGGTTCCTTTCGTCGTATTTTGAGATAAACGTAGTTTGCCGTAGTGCGGCTTCGACCTGGGATGCCAAATAGATCGCAAGAGAACAGACAGACGTATACACCTGTAGTGGCCACATTTTGTTTCGTTCAGAAAAAGAAAAATATTATTGCCTTCAGAGATGGACGAGTCACCACTTTTTCGAGTCTGAGTCGAGTCCGAGTCAGTAGCCTTCGAGTCGGGGTCCGAGTCGCATCAAAAATTGACTCAAGTCACCCCGAGTCATTTTCTACAGGAAAACTTCTTCCTGATTCATTTTTCCAAGAACAGTCTTCAATCCTCTCCTGTGACGCGATGTTCTACTTAGAATACTCTCAAATCTTTCTCTTCTGGTACATAACAAACATAATAAACACCGTCATAATCCCAAGTTGCACATGGCTGACTCGTAAGTGACTCGAGTCAGTTTATCAAGTTTATCGAGTCTTGCACCTCGAGTTCGAGTCAAAGACAAATGCGACTTGAGTCAGAGCCGTGACTCGAACTCGCCCATCTCTGTTGTGCTTCAGCTACAGAGTCTGTATTGAAAGAAGTGCAATAAGGTAAAAGTTTACAAAAATCAACCTTTGTTAAGAGGGGTCTTCTAATTTGTTTTTTGCTTCGTTCACTCAAACGGGTCTTCTAATGTGTCCATCCGTTTAGTTGATTCCCATCCATCTCACAGAGCTCAAACTTTTCTCAAGCACTCTTCTGGATATGCTATACCTACAGGATTACCATATCAATAATCGTAAAAATCTTTTTTCAAGTCTATTTCGTTTTCTTTGAAATAAATATTTTGCAACATGAAGAATCAAAGTGTGCTGAAACTAGTGGTTTTTAACATAAAGACACACATGTTTGTATGATGTGCAAGCAAAGCTTAGCGTGTGGCAGTTTCCTGATTTTAGACATCAAGATCACTCGTGTCTACTTCACAACGTTAATATGTATTTGAAAAAAGGCTCTAGACTGTAATGTTTCGTTTCTACCTGTTCTTCTGCTTCGGATAATTTCGCTGCTAATTTTCGTTTAGCTTCTTCCAATTCTTCTCCACGTGTCATGCCTTCTGATTCAAATCTCGCTCGCCATTGTTGATTTTCTGACGTCAGTTTTGTCAACTGTCGCTGCAATTCAACTTTTGCCTCTTGTTCTTCATCCAACTGTTCGCGTGCTTGATCTAAGTCGGCTGTTAGATTACGAAGTTGTGAGGCTAAAAATAAATATGAATGTAGTGTATCATTATTCGTGCTGTGTTCAACTTACTCATTGAATTTTTTGATCGTGATTCTTCCTCAAGTGCACGTTTCGCTTCATCAGCTTGTTGTTGAGCTGTTACTTTAGCTTTTGTTAAAACAGCTATTTGATGTTCAACATCCTCGAGCTGTTTGGCTAAATCTGAATTTTCTTGTTGAAGTTTGGATTTTTGATGAGTAAAATCACCTATTTGTTTAACATTATCGTCGAGTTTGATTTGAAGTTCTGACAACTGTTGTTCTAATTGTTTTGATAGTTTTTCAGCGGCTTGACGACCTTTTGTCACATGTTCGATTTGTGTACGGAAATCGTCAAGTTCAGATTTTACACCTTGTTTTTCTTTTTCTAATTTATTTTTTAATTTCTGTAACTGATCAACTGAAATAATACGAAGTTTACGTTTAGGTTTAAAGCTCATATAAAACTGAAATTTTGTCAAAAAGTGGCTAAATGTTGATCATTTTTTGATCACTTACTGAGGACAATATTGCTTAGAAAATATCTCCGTTTCGAAGAAAAACGTTCAATCTACGTGAAAGCATTTTCTGTTTACCATAAGAGACACAAATGAATTATCAAACGGTATAAATCTCTCACTAGTGGAACTTCTTGTACCTAAGATCTTAGAAAAAACACCATAAAGTCAAAATCTTGGATTCTTGAATCTTTTGCTCAAGATCTTGGGAACAAAAAATTCAAGATCTTGAGTGAATCGAGTGAAAATATTTCAAACTATTGTAATGAAATTTTTTACATTTTCTATCTCTTATATGACAACTATAACAATCATATATTATCACCGATTCATCCTTGAAGAGGTTTGCTCAAGAAAGAAAAAAATTTGCAGTTATATAAAAAGCAAGAGTGAAACAAAACGGCGATGCAAGAATTATGAAGACCTTGGTACAAGAACTCAAGAAACTCTAAGATGTTACTGGGTTCTTGTTATTTCTTGACTTTTTTAAGTTTTCTTACCAAGATCTTGAGTCAAGATCCTGATCACAAGAATATTTCACTAGCTTCTCTTTAACATTCAAAACCTCATATTGTTTGAAGAAAGAGCGATAGAAGATGAAAAGCTGTACACAACTGTTCAGAATGATTTCATGTCTAACATGAATGTACGAATAAAAGTCGGTGCAATTCGAATAACATTTCTTCAAATCGTCATTTAAGATTTGTTTATGATTGGAAAAAACTGTTTAAAGTAAAATCAAGAATTTGGGACGATTTTAGAGAAGGTACGAACCAAAAAAAGGCGTGTTTTTCAAATCTAAATTTGCAGATTTCACATAAAAGATAATTTACTTCACTGAGGACGACCTTGGGCTTTCATTCAGATTATTACTTCGCACATTGTGGTTCAAATCCTGTAATTAATCACTTGCGTTCTTAACAACAGTGATGTGATAGAGAAAAGTATATGCTTATATTTACTCGAGCATTTAACTTTCATTGGATTGAAGGGAACCTCGATTACTATATCTTTCATGACTCCAATATATCATTTGTACGGAAAAGTTGTTTACTACAAAGTATTTTACTGTAAAATCTGATAAACATAAGTGTAACAGGACTTTTTCACGATCACCTCTTACGATACTTTTATTCTAAGGAAAAGTTGATTCTGAAATGACGTTTACAAGGTACTCCTAACAAAACGTAGCATGACATCACTCATCAACAACAGAAATGAAACAACTAGTCATAATTAATGTTCTAATAAGAACGAGTTTTACGGTAGAAGTTCGAAGAATTTTATTGTGCATTCCTAGCTGTTTTCTTACTTTGTTCTCCCATTTCGTTGACGGCATCTTGATGTTTCTTTCTCAACTGAGCAGCTGTTGCTTCATGTTGAAGGTTGGCCTCTTCCAGATCTCGTCTCAACTTCGCTAATTCTCCTTCGCGTTTCTTGTTCATTTCCACTTGACTCGATGTTGCACCACCAGCTTCCTCTACAAGACGTCTAATATCAGTAATTTCTATAATATTCTTATTAGGTATCTCTTACCTAAACGATCATTCATTTCATCTATTTCACGTGCTAAATCTGCTCGTTGTTTCTCTGTTTTTAATTTCGACTGTCTCTCTGTTTCAATTTCTTCTTCCATTTCTTGAATTCTTCCTTGTAATTCTTTGATCTTTTTCTGAAGACCGCTAGCTTGTCCTAGAATAATGCATTCGATCAAACTACTGAAAACGAGAAGACAATCAAATCTACGCACCTTGTTCATCCTCCAATTTTCCCCCCATCTGTCCGATTTCTTGATCTTTTCGTTTCACATTTTCTTCCAACTCTCGTTTAACTCGTTCTATTTCTTCCAGATTAGATTGCGTTGCTTTCAAATCAGTTTCTAATTTTCGTTTCGATTTGTCCAAATCGGCACGTCCTTTCTTTTCTCGTTCCAAAGAGTCTTCCAATTCGTCTAACGTCTGTTCTAATTTCGTCTTCAATTTGTTCAAATGATTCACTTTATCTTCTTCTGCTTGTAATTGTTCTGTCGTTTTTGTATTTTGTTCTTCCTATAGCAATAAACATTTTAAGCTTCTAATATGATTAGATATAATAAACTTACCAGTCTCTTTTTCTCGCGTGTCAATTTGGCTAATGATTCGTCTTGTTGAGCAATTTCGTCTTGTAGAATATTTATACGATTTTCACGTGTTTTACATTCGTTTTCTGATTTTTGTAAATTTAATCTCAGATCATCAATATCTTTTTTCAAACCATCGATATCATGTTCCAATTTTTTCCGTTTATTATTTATTTCTTGTCCCGCTTGTTCTTCATCATGAAAACGTTCTTCCAAGTCTTTCACTTGTTGTTCTAAATCGGCTTTTTGTGTAACTAAACGTGTCAATTTTTCTTCAACACCTGATGTTTGAGAACGTTCTGATTCCAGTTGAGCATACAAATCATTTTTCTCTGAAACAAAGATTCGTTTAGAAATATATTTTATCAGGAACCAGATACTGATGTATAGACTCTTTCGAATAAGAACAATGCCGAAATAATAGCTTTTAAATTGAACGAAAATGTTTGTTCGATATGTCAAACAGTCGATGATTGCAGCTTATTATTCATCTACTATTTCATACTCTAACAAGGGAACCTCCCTAGATGCCCACTTCCGATTCAAATGCTTTGTACATGGATCGATAAATCTCAGTGAGGTAGTTAATACTCTAAAAGGATTCGGGCCTATGACTCTTGAAGGCCCGGTTTTCTGGAAAACCAGTTTTTCAGAAATACTGAAAGATAATCAAAACCTTTTCTTAATGAGGCATGATTGTGACCTACAAATTTCTGATTAAAATGAGACGTCTACCAGCTCTACACGACCTTTCTTTGCAAAGTTATAGAATTTACAAGAAAAGTCCTAAATTAATGTCTTCGTATTTCCGTAGCTTTGAGCTCACAATGAATATTTGGGGCTTTTCTTGTAAATTCTATAACTTTACAAAGAAAGGTCGTGTACAGCTGGAAGGCGTCTAAGTTTAATCAGAAATTTGTAGATCACAATCATGCCTCATTAAGAAAAGGTTTTGGTTACTTTTTTTTAGTTTCTGAAAAACTAATTTTACAGAAAACCGGGTCTTTAAGAGCCATGGGCCCAAACCCTTTTAGGGTATTAACTACCTCACTGAGGTCTATTGATCTATGTACAAAGCATTTGAATCGGAAGTGGATATCTCAGGAGGTTCCCTCGAAAAGCGCAAGAACACATACCTTTGACTAGTTTAGCATTGTTATCCTCCATTTCTTTTCTCAATTTTTCTTCTTTGGCCAAGTTCTCTTTTAATGCTCCAAACTCTTCTTCCATCTTTTTCAATTCTTCTTCTTGTCTCGCCACGGACAACAATGGTTTAATTTTGGTAAACAATATCCACCAGCCCCAATTGCGAAATGCCAAATATTTCTTGATGTTTCGTTGGACTACTTGAAGAGCGGTACGTTGTTCCAACATTTTCTTGTATTCTTTACGCATGACATAACCACGTGCTTGTGATTGTAATTTGGAAATAATAACACTCAATGCTGTATCACGCATATCTTCAAGCGAACCGAGAACACCGGCTTTGAAAAAAACTTTCGTTGTACCAAGACGATATTGTTCCTCATTGAGAGCTATTTCTTTCAGGATGTCAGTGGATGCCTTTTTCGCATCAACAAAGCCTTTTGGAATGGCATTCGGAGCGAGAATAGAGTAACGTTGCTTAAACTCTTGATATATCATACGATTCGGTAGACCAAGACGACAAATACGAATGCCTTCAAGCACACCATTACACTGAAGCTGATGTAAGACCAAATGAGAATCGAGAACACCTAAAACAATCATCGTATGCATCAAACAACCATTTTAACGAATAACATATTGCTGCATGATATCAGACATGAAGATTCTTAAAGTCAAAAGAATATCCTTCAGGTACGTTTTCTTCAGTACTGAGAAATCTATGAAAGTCCTAGTGTTACTATGAAGTTGCAACCAGAATTTACATTACTTGAAAACAGCTAAAACACAGATGATTCGATTTAGTCTTTGATACTGATTTTGAAATAATATTTATTATGTTAAAAAAATCAAAAATAGGTAGAAAAATGCATAGGTAATTCATCGGAATTCTTTGAATAAATACTACTGATGCGCAAATCTGGGGTTTGATTCTAGTACATTTAATTACGTTCATTGCTATATCTTGAGAAAGTGATAAGTAAAATAAAGCTGAAATAAAAGCCTTACCTCCTGTTTTAATTTCATTCGGTATGATACAACGCACAAAGTGTGGATGTGTCTGTTTTAATGTTGTCATCAATTTATTCAATTGTTCCTAAAAGCAATACAGTTTATATGTAAGATTCTAGCTTCGTTTTACACATTACTTACTCTATGTGTAGCTGAAATTGTTTGCATACTGCCACCTTTTTTTGATTTTCCACCGCCACCTTTTCCACCTTTATCTATAAAATAATAATGACATTTTTATTGTCTTTTAACTTCTATGAATTTATGTATTATTACCGTCTTCTTCAGCAGCCACGTCGGCATAGAGATGGCTTAGCATTGGATTCTTCGATTTTGAAAATAGAGCAGCGACTGTGGTGTTAATTGGATCCTTATTCTTCTCCAACCAACTGGTTGCCGTATATGCTACCGAGCCAGCGTAGTGATGCACCTCAAAATTTGCTTCAGGTTTACCTTTAGACGGTTTTGGTTTACCAAATTGTGGATGTTTACCCAAATGATTTGTGTACAATTTTTCAACAAATGTCTTGTCACTGGCTTTGGGCACGATACATTCTTCTTCGAGAATGGATAAAATACCCATTGGCTATAGATATAAAATATTGGGTGAAACAGGATGTGAGAGAAAGGGATATGTATACGCATTTTTGCCTGGTTATACAAAATTTCAAATGAAGTTGAAAAAATATTTTTTTTCAATACGAATCTTGTTCTACGATTCAGTCTTAAAAATACGTTAACTTTCTTTCGCCATGTGCAGTACTGGTCACAATTATACAGACAGGGGTTCTCTGTTTCCCTGACTAATATATTCGTCATCCCTTATTTTCCTTATAGTTTTCCTTATCCAAGCCTGTATATATACAGACTTGAACAAGGAAAAATCTATGCAGCTCTATCGATTTGAGTGTACTCTATCCGAATATGAAATCAGATTTGCTCATTGTGGCTGACAAGCTTGAGAAAAATATAGTTTATCAAATTTGATCTATTTCTGCCTGATCGCAATTATAGAGACAGTTTGGCTTGAAACTTAAGTATAAACACATAGAATACGTGCTTCTGGGTGTTTTGGTAACAAAAAAAAGGTTTAAAAAATAATCTAAATTTTATTTTAGAATTAAGTTTTATTGATCACACCAAAATGGCTTGAAAACTCCAAACTAGTTCAGTTTTTAAGCTGTAGTAACAAAGACACGAGCGGGGATGAGTTATTGACAACGGATTCGAATAGAAGAGACTTTTTCCTTCAAAATGGAACATTCGGGAGCTCTGGGGGTTGCGAACAAATCGATTTTGAGATATGCTCATGCCTGAAGTTACTACTTTCAGAATGTGTGTTGCTGATGTTTTCCGCGAGTTTTCTAGGAGTCTCGGAAAATAGGTTTTTCAAACAATAATTCTTTTCGGAATATTTATGCAATTGAACTTTTTTATGAATAGTTAGACTTTTAGAGCAGACTTTTCCAATCAAAATAAGACGTCGCACAACCCAGTGCAGTGTTGCATCGAACAGTTACAAGCACCATCGCACAACGTTTTCTCTCAAAATCTCTTTCTACGATTACATCGTTTCGTACTTCCAAGATATCTCAGTCAGTTTTCAAGCTAGAGGTTTCGGATTGGTTTCAAAAAATAGAGAAATGTTTTTTCTATGTTGTAACGTCGTTAGATTTTTCAATTTAACTTTAGTTCAGGAGAAATTTAAAAAGTTTCTGAAAAGTTAGAGAGATTTTATTGACTTTTCGGAAATCTTGTAAATTTCTTCTGAACTAAAGGTAATTTAAAAAGCCAACCACGTCACGACGTAGAAAAAACATTTCAACCAACCTGAAACCTAGCTGAAAAAATGAGGCGGAGTCTTGGAAGTACAAACCATACTTTTTCATCACTAATTTAAGGCTACCTCTGGGAAACCAAGTGATAAGAGGCTTAAATTACTAGAATCACCAAGTTACCTCAAGATACACATTGTCTGGAATTCTCATCAAGACGGAATGTGCCTGGACAAAAATAGGTTTCTGAGTGGGTGCCTTTAAATTTTGACACCTAGTTGTTCCCTCTCGTTTCGCAACCCACACAGCTCACGAATGTTTCATTTTGAAGGAAAAAGTCTCTTCTATTCGAACCCGTTGTCAATAAATCATCCCCGCTCGTATCTTTGTTACTGCGGCTTAAAAACTGAACTAGTTTGAAGTTCTCAAGCCATTTTGATGTGATTAATAAAATTTAATTCTAAATTAAAATTTAGATTATTTTTTAAACCTTGTTTTTGTTACCAAAACACTCAGAAGCACGTATTCTATGTGTTTATACTTAAGTTTCAAGCCAAACTGAAATCGTTTTGATACAAAAATAAATAAAACTTGAACCCTTGTCTCTATAATTGTGACCCGTACTGTATATCATTTTTCCTTAAGTACGTATCATCAGATTTATTTTATATTATTCTATGCATGACAAACGGCTTTACAGTTAAATAAGCTAATTTAAAATTCTATGCTGCAGACAAATGATAAACAAACAAGCTCTACACTTGAATCTACTACCCAAATATTTTTTCTGTACTTTTAGGTTCGGCAATTCGTTATAAGCCGATGCTCTCACTAACTCTCTCCGTTATATCTCCGGCAAGAACATTGACTAGTTGTAATTTCTGTTGTTGTAATTGCGATTCAAGCGAAAATATTGATGCTAATAAAAGAATTTTTCTGAGTTGTTGGAGTGATATTTTTCATGACTTTTTAGATCAGACCTCTCTTTTGTCTCGATTGACTACATGATGCGCGGAACGCAATTTTATTTGCGGTTATGTCATGTTATACTAAGCTGAAATACAGAAGAATAATCAAATTAATCACCTTTTCGATTAAGTCGATGCACTGCTGTAAATCCATACCAAAATCGATAAATGTCCATTGAATACCTTCCTTTTTGTATTCTTCTTGCTCCAATACGAACATGTGATGATTAAAAAACTGTTGAAGACGCTCATTTGTGTAGTTGATACACAATTGTTCGAAACCGTTGAACTGAAATAATTTTATCACTGTTTCAGATTAGTATCATATATGAGAAAAAAAACAAGACATACTTCAAAAATTTCAAATCCAGCAATATCCAAAACACCAATAAAATATTGTCGTTTTGCTTTGACATCTAACGTCACGTTGACACGTTCGACGAGCCAATTGAACATGCGCGAATAGATCGATTTTGATAGAGCACCAATTGAGTTGACAACTTGATCTTTGTTTTGACCTTTGTTAACATATTCAGTACCGACCTAAAATGTTTCACAGACATAAAAATCATCGACCATATCCTTTTCATCCATCATGAAACAAATAGTATTCATCTAAGATTCGCTAACGTCGATTATACGCCTGCTCACTCTACCAAATCGCACTTGCTGTTGATTAATAAACCACTCGCACCTTCCAACTGCATAGGAGAAAAATTCTTCCATTCTTAGTTTTGTGTCACACTATCTTTGACAACCCTATTCAGATCCTTTTTGAAAACATTATTGTTCTATATAGTGAAAATTTTGATGTGTGAGCGATTTTTGTATAGAATGTTCACAGTAGTAGATATGTCTTGCGAGAAATAATTCTTCTTCCATACTACCGGACTAAAAACTGATCAATTACTGTTTCTATCTCACGCATAATTTAAGCATAATTTCTTCTATTTTTCTATATCTGAAGGATGTTTCAAAAGGAAATGGACATACCTTAATACGTGGTTTCAGCAGACCTTTGATTAAATCTGCGCCATCAATCATGAGTAAATGAGCGACTTTATCACAATCTTCAGTACCATCAGCTTCAGCTTGCTCTTCACGTGGTCGCTGTTTCCATGTAGTATTACCAAAATGCATAATGGCAGCAGTACATTTGAACAAATTGAGCTTTTCATCTTGAGTGAAACCAAGAATGTCAAATGCCTCGTCAGTTAATTTCCATTCTTCAGCATCATCAACACCATCGATCGTTAATTTGCCTTGAGCAACATAGTAATATTTGCTCGCATCAGTGTCAATCAATAAATCCTCTATATCACAAAGAATTCTCAATATCAAGAAGATTGGTTAATACCTCTCTCTTACTGTGATATCTATCAGCCGCACCAGTCGAACATAATTGATAAAAAATATGGTAATTTCTTTCTAATGGTTGTTGAAATATGACACGAGATTTTTCTAATAGATACACTTCAATATCGCAACCAGCGATTTTACCAGCGCTACCAAAGTGTATACGAATAAATTTACCCTAGAGAAAACCTTTCAAGTGAAACAAACGTATAAGAGAGACAAAACACGAACTTTATGTGTGCACGTGTGTGAATTGTTTGTTCGCCAGGTGATAAAATAATAATGTTTGCAACTAAAAACCAAATTGTGTGATGTGCAATAATAGCAATACGAGTGACTGGGACAAGGACAAATGAGTGAAAAAATAACGATGTTAAGGGAGAAGTTGTCGCAAGCACTGTCTGAAACTGTCATAAATATCGAATCCTGTTCATGCTTACGTTGGTGAGGAAAAAAGAAACAAGTAATTTAGTTCTCAGGCTTGCAGCTCGAACCTATCCTGACTTGTCTTTTTGCACACTTGTGTCAGATTTCTTAAAATAAACTTTTTCATAGCTTTTAAGAAGCTAGGCTTGCACAATTAGACTAGGCACACTTCTTTGACAGAGACATGCTGAAAATTTAGAGGAGCTCAGCTGCAAAAATGATTCTGAAGTATAAAAGGACGATCATGGAACAATAAATAAAAAATCATATCAATAATGTCCTGTACATTCTTGCAATAAATCGGGAAAGAAACATGAAATTTAACTGGTACGTTTGAGGGTAATTGTTAAAATTAGATTAAGATGCAATCATTTAGTGAGGGTGATACCCTATTGATAACTTGCCAATTTGGTATACATATTTATCAAGAAAATTGAGGGATTAATTAGTGTCACATGATGTAGTGAGTCTGGTGACATTCAAACATCGCCGTATGTTGTGTGGATGAGTGACTTCGTGAGTATTAGAAATGTAAAACTCGTACATACGAATCGAGAACTATTATTGTTTCTTGTTGTTTTTGCGTTACCATAGGCTTCTAATACTGGATCTACAATACAAAAGAGGTTAAATTCTGTCTTGGAAAAAATAAAGAAGCACTTGCTTGCTGAAACGATTTGATCTTCCAAAGTCATCTTTTTTGCAGCCTGATAAAATAAAGCATAAAGTATTTCCATGTATGAACCAGATTACATCGATTTTACCGTGTCATCACCAGTAGCTGGTTTTTCTGATGCTGCTGCGACCAATGCGAAATACTGAATAACTTTTTTTGTATTCTCCGTTTTACCCGCACCCGATTCACCTGTGATCAACATTGATTGATTTTCACGATCTAAGAATGCATTCAACGTAATAGTATTTACAAGAAGTAGAGAACAGTTCACCTACCTCTCAACATATTAGCATACGCATTATCTGAAACTGCATACAAATGCGGTGGCACTTCATTCGGCTTTTTTCCACGGTACATCATTACAACTGGCATTGTGTAAATAGGTAAACGTTTAAACGGGTTGATGACGACGCAAAATAAGCCCGAATAGGTCTAAATGAAGAACAGCAGTGTTGTGGATGCACATGAACGACAGCAAGACGTACATATATCAGCCAATTTTTGTAACGTGTACGTAGATTATGCAATACACTGGCATCATTGAGATAGGTTAAATTAGCCATATCATCGTACATTTCAAATTTTGGTGGATTCATCTGCTGGATGTCATCTTTCTTCACCACTACTTTCTATAATTTTTTAGTACGTAAGATATACTGAAGAATGCATGCATGCATAGGTTTTATTACCTCTCCCTTGTCTTTGACGACAGTAACTTCCTCGCCTTTGGTACTTTCAATATTACCTTCGACAAAACATTCTTTAGCATCAGGTACCCAACATTGTTTTTTAGCATCGAATGGTTGGGATTGTAATTTAATTTTTTCGTCAGATGTTAACCGAAGATATCTCAAGGACTCGTCCAATGGTGGATCAGACATGTTTGCTTTAAAAATAGTTTAAAATTTTTACAATACCGAAGTGCTAGCGATTTTTGCTTTTACCTTATATTGATTTGTGTGTTCCGAGATGATGAGGATGATGATGATAAAGAAGAACGAATAAAACACTAAATGTGTTCTTGTATATATCGACAAACAATAATCTTTATATGAAAGAGCACCAGAGAACAAAATTATCTAAAACACATACATCCATTATCCAGAAAATGAGAGAAAAAAGATTATTAATTTATGGAGACGTTTAGATTATGATTATAGTCGTTAGACTAATAACAGATGCGTGAATGGTTAGAACATATTNTCTCGCTTTACACAACCTTCAAAAGAAACAATCGAAAATAGATGAGAATAGAAATAATGATGATATTTATCCCAAATACCTAATAGATTAAAATGGGTAGTACCAACTTGTGTTACAGCGAGAGCACTGGTGTATAACAGATTTCAACATGTGTATCATAGGAGAAATTCTCTCGTTCGGAATCATACGAGGAGATCGTATGGTTTCCATTTTGTTGAAAAAGCTGAAGTTGAATGATTTCTCGAATGCGGTTAGCTTCGCATCATGTTGTAAACGAACAAAGTGAAACTTGACTTCAATGTTCTCATTAATCGGTCCGTCTGACACGGAGTGAGCTGTGCAAAAAAATTTGAATGATTTCCATTCGATAACCATAAAACGATATCGCAACTTAGTATGTGGATTTTTATTATCGTTTTGCCAGTGTATATATGAGTTGACATTATTTGGGTCTTGTACTGAGACGTAAATACTCACAGAGAGTACATCAAAGATGTTTATTTTAACTTGTGCATAACACATGCGCGCAGGCCACATCGTTAGAATTTAACTTGTCTCCAAATCACGTCGTCAACTGTATCATGAAATTGGAAAATGTCATAATGAAAAGATTTTAATATCTTATTGATGATAAAAGTATTATTATCATATGTAATGAACAGTTTTAATCCCGTTTATAAATAAGATATCGATATTTTGGCTATAGGATGCATCCATAATGTAATTCTCAATGAGAAGTGAAACACTCATTGGCCGAGACATATTGTAGTTCTTCACAATTTCAGATTCATCAACAACGCCCCTAAAAAAATAGGCTTCCATCATCAATTTGTGATAATATTCTCTAAAAGTCAGAGGTCAAGTAATCACAAGAAATTTTCTCTGTATTAAACCTTTATATAAGGCTCCCGATCCATTTCTGCATAGAAACATCACATACTGTGAATAACATGTACATATCGTCTGATACTAAACATATGCAGTTCGTCACTGTGTACGGTATAAATCTGTACGTTCTAAGGCATTTTTCAATAATCAAATGTTTCGTATGATAGCATTGCAGTATAGCTGAGATGGCTCGGCAATTTTAATACTATTAATCCAAAATGAACTTGAGTGAGGAGAATTAAACAAAAATATAAATTATGTCATCGACTACTATTATCAGTATTAAAGAATCTTAACGGAAATCTAAATTCAACATTATAACACCTCGATAAACAATAGATACTATACTTAATTCCAAATACTGTTGATGTTCAGGCAAAATTTGCAAAAATTACTATATTCAATGTGAATTTACATGTTTAATTATATGAATTGACAGACATATGTTAATCTGACTAATTGGTTCATTCTGAATTAGTATGTTTGATGAACCGCTGTCGCCTCTATTTTTTACGTGTAGACATGCATATTTAGGTTAGTGTACTTAAAATACAATATTATGATAATAAAGAAATACTAAGCTGATTAATCTTGACCTTGAATTATATATAATTCGTTCATTAATCAGGCTTTAAAAAGGTTACGCGGTATTACTAAGTAGAACGGTGAAGTAGCATAGATAAAGAGCTGAACATCGCTCAATATTCTCGGACGAAGAAAGAGCATTGCCAGGGAGTATTGATAGAAGTAGGATCTTTTGTTATAAATAATGGCAGAGTTTATGTAAAAAACCGTTTTCCTCCGCATCTACTGTAGTAAGACGGATCACGCCTTCAGCCTTCACTCTGTTACACTATGGGTTATAACTGGACCCATCCCTCTATCTCTCTCTCTGTAGAATGGCTATATTTAGCACAAAGCTTGCTCAACACTGTGTTAGAAAGTCCAGGTCATTCAGAAGTCTTGCTAAGCTGAAAAAAAGCAACCCAACAAAATTAAGTTGTCTTCGTCGAAAGATGAAATAGATGTACATAATGCGGCTGATACTAAAAACAAACGTTTATGCAACGCTCATTGATACTCTTTCATAACATTAAATACTAACTTCCACTTTCACTTTTCAAACTTCTTCTGTTAAACCAGACTTCTTTACTATATTTTCTTGATAATTCCAGTAAATGCCTAATTTGGTATTCTAAATGGCTCATTTTCGTCTCTCCATATTTTACTATCTACGTATGATTATATTTAGCATTGGTCTCTCTCCCTTCTGTATATTATTTCCTTTTATGTCAGTGCTGTTCTATATTATGTATTTGTTGTTTAACGTTGTATGACACCTTAACGATGATGATAAAGAAGAACGAATAAAACACTAAATGTGTTCTTGTATATATCGACAAACAATAATCTTTATATGAAAGAGCACCAGAGAACAAAATTATCTAAAACACATACATCCATTATCCAGAAAATGAGAGAAAAAAGATTATTAATTTATGGAGACGTTTAGATTATGATTATAGTCGTTAGACTAATAACAGATGCGTGAATGGTTAGAACATATTACCATTATGGTTAGTTGTCTTCTCGCTTTACACAACCTTCAAAAGAAACAATCGAAAATAGATGAGAATAGAAATAATGATGATATTTATCCCAAATACCTAATAGATTAAAATGGGTAGTACCAACTTGTGTTACAGCGAGAGCACTGGTGCATAACAGATTTCCACATGTGTATCATAGGAGAAATTCTCTCGTTCGAACTGGAAGACATGGCGAGAAAGAATGTTTTCTCACACTGTGTGAGATAAGAACTGGATCATGTGACTTCGTGATTAGAACTGTTGAGGTTTGATGCTTCGTCGAGTCACTTGTTTTTCTTCCACTACAAACTAACAGATTCCCTATGGATGAGGAGATCGTATGGTTTCCATTTTGTTGGAAAAGCTGGAGTTGAACGATTTCTCGAATGCGGTTAGCTTCGCATCGTGTTGTAAACGACTTACTATTTTAATCTCAAAGTAAAACTTGACTTCAATGTTCTCGTTAGTCGATCGGAGGCAAGCTAGACGGAATGATTAAAAATTTCTTTCTTTTTCTACAGGTTCTTTTACAGAGATAAACTCGCAATTTTTTCATTTTAAATCACGTCCTGTGCTCTTGTTGCTCTTTTCAATGTATTTCCTTTACCTTCTCGATCAATATTTCGCGTTTTTACATAAGTGCTATAACACCGATAATGATGATGATGTACAAGAGTTAAATACATAATTTGTGTTTGTTTAGTTATGTATTGTTGTAGTGACGACAATAACCTATACGTGCAAATTTATCGATAAAACATACCACCATTATCAAGAGAATTAGAGAGAAAACTAATTTATTGTGAAGTTTAGATTATGATTTACAGTTATTATACTAACACCAGATGCGTAATGTGTGTGTACATAACCTTCATGCTAAACAATCAAAAATAGATGAGAACAGAAATAATGATAATATTTATTCCAAATGTCTAAGAGATTAAAATGAGAAAGATAAACTCATGGTACAATGATCATTTACACAAGTTCGTCAGTAATAGATCGCAATACATATACTATATATATATAGGTGTATATAATAAACCGTGGTGTCATACACGTCTTGAATTTCATGATCTTACATTGGTATGTGAAAGAAGAAAGATATTTAGACTAAAAGGGACTGTAAAGTTGCCTAGACTATTTGAATTCAAAAGATGAATTTTAATAATATTTATCATTTATCGAGCATTTCTTTCAGAGCAACATGACATAAAGTATTTTTTGATCAAACTTAGTCGAATCGATGTACTTGAAAGTTATTTCTAAGAAAACTAAGTATTTTTTAGATATACGTCTCGTTTAATTGTAGAAAAATTGGCATTTTTGTTCCGAAGCAATCCAAAAAAGTTAAAAAGATATCTCTCTCGCATTTTAATTAAAATTATCTAATTTCGTATTCGTTCTTCTCTTTGTTTATCTAACCAATTAATACTCAAAAATTTGTTGCATCTATTTCATACTTTCTCAGACGATGATGCTAGTCGTTTGACATTGTTCGTAAGAAACGTGAACCTTTGAAAGTAAATATTTTCGCCAGAATTACAGTAAATTCGTTGTCTATACTATGCGATAAAATGGGTTATCATAAGTACGAAGATTCAAGGTTATTATAACCTGGGCACAACTCCAAAACCCAAGAATGTCAATACCCATATATGCACTAAAGGCAACACTTTGCATCATCTATTCATGGGAAAAACAGATACATTCTCAATTGGATTTTTGAAAGATTAAGCTATGTATTGAAATACCTTCCAAAAATCATATGTTTGATAAATTTTCTTTTGCGAAATTGAAATTGAAATTCATTGTGCTCGTGAAAAGATGTGTTCAGAACTCTTCTCCCAAGTATAGAATACTGCAACTCTCCATTTCTCTTTGTTTCAAAGGTATTCGGAAAATATCTGTGGAATTTGTTTTTGCTCGAAATAGATACTCATAAAATGAGCCGAGAAACGTTTAGTCACCTATTTTTTCAAAAGGACTGTTGCAGCTTCCTTCACTACACAATTGGAACTACTACTTTATGTAATAAAAAAATCGATCAATCTTTTTATGGAGATCGACGCTATGATGTAAAGAGATCCCCATAATAAAAAAAAACACGCACTAAACAGCATTAACCTATTGCAGATTCATCTAGTAGATTTTATCATGCTAACTATCGTCAACAAAATTTAGTTGATCATGTTGATGATATTCTACTACCCTAGTGAATGTTTTTGGTTTGCAAGTTGAAGAAGCATTTTGCAACTCAGATGACTTAAACAAGTAAAAACCGCAGCCATTGTACCGTTGTATCGGAAAAAAGTACACAATCTGAAAAATCTTGGATTTTTGTGCTACCTCTCGAGAAAAAAATTCTTTTTTCTCTGTCACTTTTTATTCTTTCTATTCAGTGCTTAAAGCAGCGTTGTAGAGCTCGTCTATATCTTTCAGACTGTGCTTTTTCTTAGTGTTAGACTAAGTTTTAAGCATGAAAAAATTCTAAACAATAATTTGCACTCCACTTTTTTATTTTTTGTAGAACGAATAAAGCGTAAAAAAAAATCTTTTACTAGATACGAGAGAGAACTGATATCATGATAATGTGGCAAACAAGAAAATCTGTTTTACTCACTCATTCACTTAAAAAGCCTCAAACAAAGTCGAACAAGTGAGGGCTGTCAAATTATCATTATCCAGTATAATGATGACTTTCCAGTCAAACTCTGAAATTCTCAACCATCTACACTATGAAGCATTTCAAAATATACAACATTACAGAATTTCACATTGTTATTATTCTCTGAATGCTACTACATTTAGAATTTCGCATTCGCATAGTCTGAAAAGTTTGGAGTATTGCTAAAGGTTTGGAAGGTCACTATTGTCTGTATGTCGAAATATGTAGAGCTGGATAGTTTCAGAGTCTCCTGATATAGTCAAAATCGACAATAAATCGATGATTTTTTAGCGGTTACTCAGCTGATTTAGCGTCAATAAGCCGATTAATAGTAATTAACCGGCGAGTTTTTAGTGTAACAGTCAAAACTGGATTCTTCGGTTCAAAGCGGACTCAGATCGAAACAACGAGTTAGCTTTGACCAGGCTACAGAGAACACCCTTGACAACTCCGTTTTAAGCTAAACTAAAAAGATAGTCTGAAAAGAAGAAAATTTCTGGTTGGAATCGTGTTTCTTATATGCTTCCTCTACTGCAGAATAGAACGGTGAATAACAAAAAACATTTAATGGCTTAGAATCAAGAACTAATTAAAATAACAGAAAAATCACTAGGATCGCTAACTAATCACGATTAATTTGCGATGTTTTTAGGAATGGCGGTATATCAGTGATTTTTAACAACTAGCGATTTTTTCTGTCAGCCGATTGATCACCAGTTGCTAAAAAATCGCCAAGAAATTCGCCATTTATGGACGGTTATAGTCGAAATTGCTATTAACTGGAGATTTTATTGCTAATCGCAAGTGATCGTCCAGAACGAAGCGAATTTAATGGCATGAATCAGAATCTCCCAGTTTTATATTGCATCCAATGAAGTACGATGAAATTCTGCTTCAACTGAAAGTCCAAGAATGTTAATATTGAGAAATGCTGACTTTTCACGAACTTCTAAGTGGTAGTGACTTCCAAGAAACGGGCCGTTGTAACCTTCTGAGACCCAGGCGAATAAAAAGTATCGAGTAGTGGGCAATCCTATCTAGATAATCCAATCCAGTACCCAATATACCTAGATACAAGTAAAAGCTCTGTTATAGACCAATATATTGACTTATGTATCGATAGCATGGATGAAGGACATTTCATTCCTCAATATATTAGTCTGTTACATCCTAATATATCGACCTATGCATCTCCCAAGCGAATAAAAAGTATTGAGTATGCGACAATCTCAATACAGTAATCAATATACCTAGATGACCCAATACCATACACAATACAAAACAAAGGATGATCGTTGCATGTTTAAAACACAAAGGAAAAGACGAATATGTATTCTTTTTTCACTTGAGAAAAAAATATTTATCTACGATGTATATATCAAAATTTCTCAACCATAACTGACTAAAAATAAGATACAACGAGAAGAGAAATCAGTCACAAACATATAGTCGTACACCAACAAATGGCATCCAGTGGGTCAAACGGAACTTCTAGTATAGTGCCAGAGTCAGACTACACCATTGTCTTGCTTGACGAATTACTTGATAAAATGAACAGTAGAAGCCAAACAATAAAATCTCAGTTGCTCGAAAGTGGTCGATTAGATTTAAAAACATTTTCCTGTCAACTGAAATGTGTAGAGTTTGTTGTCGAGCTCAATGAAGATAACGGAAGGATAGCAACAGTCATTATTTCTAGTACGTTTGGTGAGAACACAGTCAGGATGATTCATGACCAAAAACATATTCGATCGATTTATGTATTTTGTGGTAATGATGGGGATACGGCGAACAAGCATGAGCTATGGACTAATGATCATCGACATAGGACATCATCAACTGTAGGAGGAGTTGGTCACAAAACATTTGAGGTTGATGATTTGGGTCAGAAAACAGACAAACATTCGCCATAGGTGAATGACTACGCAACTGTATAGAAAAGTTCAAGGGGTTTTTGATGATCCTTTGGAACTTGTTAATCACATAAAAGACGATCTGCGACGACGTGATGCGATACTTCTCAGTGGAAAGAAACAAGAAGCAGAATATACGGGAACACATCTCACTGTGACACTCATATGGTTTCAATTATTGACAGAAATATTTTGTCGTATGAAGAAAGCTGCTCCTACTGGTACGACAGCAACGGAAAAACTAAAAAATAAAGCAAAGGAAAAACTAAAAAATAAACTTCGATGTCTCAAATCACCATTCTTTTGCAAGCTGTCGTCGTCAGACTCGGATGATGAGAACGAAAAACGAGATCTTGTAGAATATTGTCGAAAATATTATGACGAAATAAATGATCAGAAAGAGTTGGAAAACATTAAAGAATTTGAATCGACATATCAATCGAGCAACGCCATTCCGTGGTACATAAAAGAGTGCTTCGTATACAACATGCTCAATAAATCTTTACGCTCGAAAGACATTGATACACTTTTGAAGTTTCGATTTTTTATTCTTGACCTTCAAGAGCAATTGGAACAACTTCATTCTAGATTCATAGAGAGAATATCATCGAATGAAAGATCTGTTGTTGTCTACCGTGGATGCCAGCTGAATGATGATGCAATTCAACATTTTAAAAATAATATCGGTGGCATAATATCCATGAATGGAATTTCGTCATGCAGCGCAAGCAAAGAAGTTGCTCTAGACTTTTTAAGATCCGTATCCAAGCATACTGACTGTTTCCCAGTACTCATGCAATTTACTATCTCACTTAAACATACCGTTTTTGGAAGTATTTCACAAGATAGTGGCTTTCCAAAGGAAGAAGAAATCCTGTTCGCCGTCGGTTCCCCGTTTCGTGTTGATTCGGTAGAGCAACTTAACGACGGTGTTTGGCACATTAGATTTTTGCTGACGGACGAAGAGGGACAAGTATTGGAAGAATTAACGGACTATTATTTAGACAATGAAGTCGACGAAACAGTGACATTAGTCACCATCGCCACATTTCTACGTGACATGGGTGAGTATGAGAAAGCAATAGATTATTATCAACTGTCACTTGATGAACAAGAGGTTGAAAATAAACCACTGGTGTACAATAATATTGGTCTTTGTTATTTATATCAAGATGATTATCCGTTGGCTCTAAAATATTGTGAACAAGCACTCGAAGCGGCCAAAAGACGTCCACTGTTCACAAATGCCACATTTGTTCTGATTTGCAACAGTCTTGGATCGGTATACCTAAAAAGTGGCGATCATGCTACGGCGCTGACTCATTTTGATAAAGCCGTCCAGATTGGTTTACAGTGTCTGGAACCCACTCATTCTCACATATGTACAGCCTATGATAATATTGGCGATGTGCATTTCTACGGTGATGAGCATGATTACAAACGAGCGTTGGAGTATTATGAAAAAGTGAAACAAATTCGACAACCGCCTTTCATTCCAAGTAATCATCCATTACGAGGAAAATCTTATCAAAATGTAGGAATGGTCTATTCAAAATTGAATGATCAGACAGCAGCATTGCATAATTATCACACTGCTTTGGACATCTACTTGAATTCATTACCCATAACACATCGTCGAGTTGTCGAACTCAAACAAACAATTCAAGAGGTCCTTCAAGAACAAAAAAACTAATTAAATGGAAAAGTTGAAATACATTATAATACAATCTAATGTGATAAAGGAGTTTAGTGAAATCGTATTCAATTATAACGAGATAAAAAGGTGAAATACATTATAATGCTAATATAAAAACACCTACGTTTTTTACAGTTGAATATTTCCACAAAATAATATAGAGAAGTTGAAAGTTGAGGTGAATTTCAAGTAGTTATAGCTTTAGTTCAAAGTTGAAATATGAAAGTTCTGACAGTATTGAGACTGTCAGTGCGCAAATAATAAATGTAGAAAAATTAACTGGTTAAATCTTGTAGTATTTTTTTATTGATCATATATTTATTGTTATAATAGAAACCAAGGATATGTTTTGCATGATCAAAATGACACTGCTTTCCTTCTTTTCTCTCATGGTCTATATGTCATATTTTTATGTGTACATACCGTATACACTGAGAACAAAAGGTAGAACGACCAGAAGAAAGAATGACACATTACCATTGAAGATTCTATTTTGATTCAAGCATCCTTCATGCAACTCCAAAGAAATATACTTTTGATTACTTCTAATGCTTCCATTAAATATGTAAAATTTTTATTTGATATTATTCCACGATCAAAAAGTGATTCAGATAAATCTAATATACCATTATGGTTTGGATTTGGTTCAATCCATCGTAGTACATCATCACCTACTAGAAAGGCTAATGAACTTCTATCAGCATCGGATAAACGAGGTGAGATTTCAACGAGAACTTCACGTAAAGTTCTTCAACGATGCATGAGACTGTCCATCGAATGCTAGAAAATGTCACACTTAGTTATTCAAAAAACTCGCTTCTGATAGTGTACGGATTATAAACAGACGATAAAATACATTTCGTACGTTCTAATAACGAATTTCACTAATAATAACAGCAGTACAAGGCAGTATCTAATTGTGAATTCCCCCTTCAAGAAACAGGAAGAGAAAATAATACTTTCAGAATAGACAAGTGTAATATTTATGGCATGAAAACAGAACAGAAAGAAGAAATAAAAGGGCATAAACAAGAAAAAGATCCGCTTGTTGTTTTCAGCTTACTAAAACTTGGTCTTTCTCATATTCTGAGCAACCAGAAAAGCTGGAAGCCAATATTTGTCGTACGCGTCAGCGAATCACGCAAATTTCATCCTTACATCATTGCTTTTTATGTGACTCAAACAATTTAATGCGATCATCTTGTACAGTCTCTGAGAGGTTATAAACAAAAATATACTTTTTTCTGACGAGGAACACATCTTTTTGATGTACTAGTATCCATGCAAGCAAGATAAACAGAAAAAAAGTAAATGATGGCTGAATCTGCTATTCACTGATGTAATGACCGCTTTATCTCTGTATTCAAAAAACATTCGAGGTCTTTATATTTTGAAGCGGATGGATGGTAGTTGCTTAACTACAATATTCTCTTACTGTCTTTTTCCCTATTTATTCATTTTTTTAATCTTAAATTACATATTATGTAATTCGAGGTCTGACCGTGCGATACATTAATCTTTCGATAAGAAAGAAAGAAATTTTGAAGAAATATTTTCATGAAAACATGATGAATACTCTGCTTTATTTTGCTATATGTTTCAATATAGATATTTCTGCTACTGAGATTTTGTTTGGATTGTAAGTTATTTTTTGAAGAAAGATTGATATCGATGCTGAACATAGTTTCTTCTCGTTTCTGATATGTTATTTAGAAGTAACATTTAGATTCTTAAGCAAAAACAGTTCGCCGGTTAGATAAAACAAGATTTAACATTAACAAAATCATCAAAAGTATTGCAAGTATCAAAAGTTTAGAGCGGATATTTTCAAAAATTTTGATATAGTAACTTTAGGTCAGTTTGAAACTAAAAATAAACATCAATTTTCCGAGAAGGAAGACTTATTATTGATCTACCCAAAGTGCTTAAAGAAAAATTGCATCTGTGCAACAGTAGAACAGAAAGGATTTATATGCCTCTATTATCTCAGTAACTGGAACTGCTGTGTACTTAATTTGTAAATTAGTTTTTATTTTATTTAATTCTACTTTGAAAAAGTTAAAAGAACAAATAAGAAAACTAACGAGGGAACTACTCCAACTGATCCAGCGCTTCCGACTCCATATTTTGGTCATAGGTAGACCTTGTTGAGACTAAGAAAACTCTAAAAGCGTTCGTGCCTATGGCACTCGGAGACCCGTTTTTCTAGAAAAGCAGTTTTTCAGAAACTCTAAAAAAAAACAAAAATCTTTCTTAGTAACGTATGATTGTAGCGCGCACATTTCTGATTAAAATGAGACAACTCCCAGCTCTACACGATCTTTCTTTACAAATTTATAGAATTTACACGAGAAGCCCTAAATTAATTTCTTCTTATTTCTGTAGCTTTGAGCTGAATGAACATTTAGGGCTTTTCTTGTAAATTCTATAAATTTGCAAAGAAAGATCGTGTAGAGCTGGAAGACGTCTCATTTTAATCAGAAATGTGCGCGCTACAATTATGCCTCACTAAGAAAGATTTTTGTTATTTTTCAGAGTTTCTGAAAAACTGGTTTTCTAGAACCAGTCGTTTATGCAGATAGTTTGCATATACATGAGTGAATTGCATAGACATTGTGCCGTTGGTTGTCGGAGAATGTTTTGCTTATCAAAACTGTTCTGCTCAACTGGATTCATATACCAATGACGAACCCTGAAAAGTTTTGAAACAGACAGGAAGATGGAGCGTACAAAGCTCTACATTTTGGCTAAAGAAGAAAGTTTTGTAAAGTTTTTTTATCCAATCGAAAATCAGGATAAAACATGTATTCAATCTGGTTTTTGTACAAAATGTTCACTGACATTTTGAAAATTATTTGGTCTATAACTTCGGAACAGTTTATCCATTAGAGCCGAAACCTTTACCCTTTCTTTCAGTTGGTGTCCAAAATATGTAGTAAAAACGGCAACCCTCTAGCTTGCCTTGTTACAGAGAACCTGTACATACAGTGACCTAAAATTTAATATTCGATTCCTGAGCTGTAAAAATAAGAAAAGGAACTTATGCCCCATAATTCTATTCGAGAATTATAGTTTTCTGCTTTCTGTCAATCATTCTTAAGAAAAAACAAATAATTTTTTACCATTTTAGTGCGAATAAAACAGCGCGTATGCCTACACATGTGCTAAGTGGGTATCGCATATGCTCCATCGAACTCGCCTTGCCGAGTTCTTTCGCACGGTGTATGATAGTATAGGTCATTTGCCGAAAAACAGATGAATTCATTTGGCTACCCTAGGGAGAGTTTTTGGTTCAGTAAAATCTCTAAAACTCCGCCAATATTTTCAGTAAAGTGTAGAGAAAATTATATTTTTAGATGCAGTTAACGTACCACTCAAAAAATTTTTATTTTTAACTTTTTTTCGATCGATTTTTTTAATGAAGATGCAATCGCTATGCAATTCCCCACATGTATATTTTGTAATGCGATTAACGCTATTTGAGTGATTTGTCTTTATTGTAATACTTTATAAGCTGTTCTGTACGGGAAATAATGGTGTAACTGTAAAAAGAATTCCATATTGAAATTCTATATCATGTGTTGATTGGCACGTATCATCTAAACAAATTTTTGATTTTTACTCGTATAGCCTTTTTTTTGCATGATTTTTTCCCAAAGAAATATAATTGAATATTTGTTTTACTTTTATTTGTGCATGTCATGGCGGTATACTGACTGAGCAAGAAACTCTCTAAGATATGACGTCATTGTAGAATTTCTATCTGTCGAAGAGACTGTTTTGTTTCTATAGAGCAACACAAATGTGTCTGCTCATGAATAGATTTTAACACATTTTTGGGTATACTAGCATGAAAAATGTGAACAGTTTCACTTGAAACTTGTCTACGAAAATTATCGTGACCTCCTCCTGCTTTTGAAAATGTTTTCCTGCGTAGTAGCAGTAAAAAAATATATTATTTAACAGGAAAATTTAAGTCACCCCCCCCTCCTGCTTTTGAGTCCCCGCTACGCCCCTGAACTTGTCAACGAAAATTATCTTTGATACACCTCATAAAACACAAGAATGGCAAAGAAAATATTTACATAGTTTATTCGAGTATTTATTCGATTCGACGGAGACGTTCTCAAAATTTTGAGTCGTCACAGAGGTCTGGTGACTGTTCTATAGTCTTTTTCAATAGTAAAGAAAGAAGAAGAAGAATAGCCTGGTATAGGATGCTGCCGTGACAGTTTCAATAGCCCAATATCTTCCCTGCAGTTGACAAGGTTCTGAAATGATCTCCCATCTCCCATACTAGTGATCAACTGCAGCTCTGGTGGGAAGGCTAGCCTGACACAGAATTCTTGCGCACAATTAGTTAAGGTCCCATACGCACTTCACTATCACGTACTAGCTTTCCGGAAAGTCACAAAGACTAGCCGGAGAAGCTATGCGTAGTGACTATGCTGTCACACAGGTGATCCGAGGCACTAAGACGTAAGTAACTTGTCCAAGGTTATTACATAACTTTTCTAGCGCCGAGATTCGAACACAGTAGCTTTAAGTATACGAAAAACATAACTATCAAGCCATGTTGCCTCAATAGTAAAGAAAAGAATTGAAATAGATTTAATTTTCTACCAATTTTCTTAATGTTGATCTAATTTTTTTCTGCTTACCATATGTAACACGCAAAGTTATTCTTTAGATCGGTTTGTTAAAACGAAATCTATTTTATGCAGCCGATACTGCATTTTTAAAGAAGAGAATGACCCTTAAAGTCGGAAAATACTATCTATCGTAGACAAAATTGGATAAAACTTTGAAAATTTGTATTGGGTTCAGATTCTAGTTTTGTTATTTAAGGACTAGCAATATTGCTAAATCTCGGTTCAGGTTTTTGGGGATTCTTTATTCGTACACTGACTTTAGCAAGTTTCTACGTTTGTTCATTGTTCTACGCTCTTTTCAAGACATTTTTCGAGAGTTTTCTAATCCATTTATGATAAGAGATA